AAAATGGAATAAACGGGTAAAGAAAATGGATGGATGGATGGATGGATGGATGTCTAATGATGCATATGTGTATGAAGTTTTGTTAAAGTACTCTGAGAAGTTCAGGCGTTAAGGGCAGGACAAGAGAAAGTTTATGGACATATGCAGACTATACCATAATACAACAACCTTTTGATGCACATATAATAAAAACTAACAAAAATCCAAAAGGTGGTTCTGGTAGAGATTTAAATGATCACAGCAGCTGATTAATTATTACACGATTAGAGTTTAACATCAAAGCCTTTTCATAATTATAAAATTAATACTAATTTAATGACAGCCATTAAAAGCCAGTGTGGTGAATTTACAAGATTTACTTCTGATCTTAGAACTTTAAATTTACAAAAACAACTATTCATAATTTATTCTTCTCAGATTAGAAATATTTTGTAGTAAAACATGAATAAATCGATATTGGAGTAAAAAAGAATTAGCAGTTTACCCTTCACGTTGATCAAGGGATGCCCACCTTGGTGCAGACTAAGTTTTTTCATTGGTAGTTTGATGATTTTACAAGCATGCATAAAAGTTTAATTGTGAAGTTTACAGCTCAGAAAGCACAGCCAGAAGGATTTGCAGAAAAGCCATTTAGACATCTGTTAAAGCACCAATGAATTAGTGTGTTTTTATGTTACGTATAGTTCACACAAGCGTTTGGCATACAGAGGACAAAAAGGTATGTAATTTGAATGTTTTTGTATGATTCTATAATTTCATGCAAAAGAAAAAGGAATATGTTTGGGGTGAATGCAAATTCTCAGGCAACGGGCAGAATAGGTTCTATAGGAGGGATGGGGTTGGTGGCAGCAGGGTCAAAAGTGATCTCAGAGGAGAAACGTTTCTATAAATCACAGCATTACCAGGATTTGGATTTACAAGTGACATCCCAGCACAGTGAACATATCAGACTGTCTGTTATAAAAGCTGCCCAGTTTACTTCAGAGAATCACGTAATCTCATCACGATTTGTTGGAGGACTGGATAGAGGATTGCAGACTCACACAAAGAGCTCGAAAAACACAAAACAAGAGTACAGTATACGTCACATTATACATCTGTTGAAACTATTATACGGCAATCTATAGCAATGGCCCAGACAAGAAAAGACCTTGTATAACATTTGGTTTTGATTTGTAACCTTGATCTAGACGTTGAGATGATCAAGACTGTGACATGACTGGTGGTACAAATGTGGCTGAAGTTTTGTTAAATTTTAATGTTGACCTTGATTTTTGACCTTGACCCCAGAGCTGGAATGAAGAAAAGTATACATGACACTATGTCTATTGACATTGCATAAGTTTATCGAGCCTTATTAAATTATCTTGAATCATACGAGTCAGGTGCACGATGCCATGGACAGTGGCCTAAGGTGGAGGCCTTGGCACTCTGACTCTGGCTTACCAAAGCTGGCTCTTGAGACATGGAACATAACATCATTGGTGGGGAAGGAGCCTGAGCTTGTGCATGAGGTCGAGAGGTACCAACTAGATATAGTTGTGCTCACCTTTATGCACAGTAAGGGCTCCGGAAACAATATCCTTAAGAAAGGCTGGACATCAAACCACCACCTTCCAACATCAGCAGAGAGGAAAGGAATGCACTCACCACTCTTAGCAAGGACAAGAACATCATCATTCTCCCAGCAGACAAAGGAAGGTGCACAGTGATTTTGAACCACAAAGACTATTGTGAGAAAGTTATGACACTCCTTAGTGAATTAACCACTTATGAGCCACTGAAAAGAGATCCAGGAAGTGGTTACAAGAAGTTCATAGATTGCCTGAAAAATTTGGAGCAGGACAAGGCTATTGACCATATTCTGTACCACACATGGTACCCAGGGGAGGCCACACCTAGTCTGTATGGTTTAACCCAAACTCAGAAACAAGGTGTACCTTTAAGACCAATTGTTAGCATGATTAACTCTGTCACTTACAATGCTTCCAAATACCTGGCATTTGTACTCATCCCTTTAGTTGGCAGCTCAGAACACCACATACAGAACACCATGGACTTTGTGGATAAGGTGAGAGATGTCATCATGGAGACTGATGAAACAATGGTCTCTTTTGATTTCACATCACTCTTTACGTGCATTCCTGTTGATGATGCAGTAGAGGTGGTCAGATTAAAATTAAAATCAGACACCACTCTGAGCAGCAGGACCACGCTTTCCACAGAACAACTGTGTCAACTCTTGAAACTGTGCCTGCAGTCAACCTACTTCACATATGGGGAGCAATATTATAGGCAGAAACATGGGTGTGCTATGGGGTCCCCAGTTTCTCCTATTGTTGCCAACCTGTATATGGAGGAGGTAGAAAAGAGAGCCTTGACGTCCTTTTCAGGGACACCACTAAGTCATTGGTTCAGGTATGTTGACGACACCTGGGTTAAAATCAAATCTCAGGAAGTCCAACATTTTACTGACCACATCAACTCTGTGGATAAATACATCAAGTTCACAGGAGAAGATGAAAAAAATAGAAGGTTGACTTTCTTACCATACCATACCAATTTATTTATAAAGCACTTTAAACAGTGACAAAGCACACCAAAGTGCTGTACATGGACAAACAGAACAAGCACATAGCAACAGATTACATAACAGGACACCAAAAAGTAAAAACCAACAAAAACAATAATGGATAACAACAACAACCGCAACATGACTAACACAGTGTGATGCACACAGACTCAGCACAGATCACACAGTGCAGAAGGCCAGGGAATAAAAGTGTGTTTTTAAGCGAGATTTAAAAACTGTGAGGGAGGGGGCCTGTCTAATGAGCAGAGGTAACTCATTCCAAAGTCTTGGGCCTGCTACAGAGAAGGCCCTGTCACCTCTGCGCTTGAGACGGGTTCCTGGGACTGTTAGGAGCAACTGGTCTGCTGATCTGAGAGAACGTGGTGGGACATACGGCTTGGACTGTGAGGTCTCAGTTTCTGATAGAGGACATTTGCAAACAGAGGTGTACCGCAAACCCACCCACACAGACCAGTATTTGCAGTTTGACTCCCATCATCTCATCTTTGGAGCACAAGTTAGGAGTCATCAGGACTCTGTACCACAGAGCAGACAGTGTCCCCACTAACTCAGGAGCCAGGCAGAAGGAGAAATCCCACACAAGACAGGCTCTAGAGCAATGTGGATATCCTAACTGGGACTTCCTGAAAGCAGAGAAGAAACCCAAACAGGACTCCAGTCAGCCAACAGGTGAAAAGGAGGAACCCAGACCCAGACCAGTGGTCATTCCATATGTTGAGGGAGTATCAGAGAAACTGAGACGTTTATTTTCTAAACATAACGTCCCAGTGGCTTTAAACCCCAAAATACATTATGGCAAAGACTGGTTCATCCCAAAGATCCAGTCCCCCGGCACAAACAGAGTAATGTTGTGTATGCTGTTCAGTGTCAGGAGGGCTGTGATCAGTCTTACATCAGGGAAACTAAACAGCCACTGGCCAAAAGGATGGCCCAGCACAGAAGATCAACATCATCAGGCCAGGACTCTGTGGTCTACACTCATCTCCAGGCCAGCAGTGACCTTTCTTGATCTTTCAAGTATGAAGATGTGCACATGCTTGATCGAGAGGAACAATGGTTTGAGAGAGAAGTGAAGGAAGCCATCTCTGTGAAGAAAACTCGTCCATCATTAAACAAGGCAGAGGCCTCCATGTTCAATTGTCCCCTTCTTACAATACTATTATTGAAAGTATCACTCAACCCCATGTGAATAGAAAGTGGCCATCAAGACACTAATGATCAGTAGTTAAGCTGATGGTCGTCCTTTTTTGCATGTGGACAGCTAGTTTTGGATGTCACCAGCAAACTGGTTGATCCACTATAAGAGAGTGCTGCTTATAAGACCAACTTTGATGCAACTCCTCACACTGAAGAAGTCTTTTGGATAAAAGACGAAATGTTTCAACAAAAAAGAATCTGTGCAGAGGACCTGACAACCTTGTTAGATTAATCTACCTGGATTATTGAACATGCATCAGGATAATGTGCATGTGCTCTCCTGTTGGTTAGACTGTGTCTACAGTAGAAACACGTGTGGAACTTCGCCAGCACCAGTGGATCAATAAAGGCTACGAAAACAGAAACGTTAAGGAAGCAGACTTGAAGCAGTTGAGGATACCAGGGATTTGTTTCCATCTAATCCAGATGAGCAGATGACAGCAGGAATTTAGTTGATAAAGTCTGAAAGATGGAGAGGCGTCTGGCTGGGCTGCTTACTTCTATCTGAGACCACTTGTCATATCTAATATCACATGTTGTCAAAAGTATCAATTTAGCTGTGGAGGAATGAAAAAGCGAGTCTGTTTCTATTTTAGCAGCTCGCTTGACAGATTGAGAGGTGTTTAACATCTCATTTTGGCTTGTCAGTGTTGAGGGGAGGACGGGAGGGAGGCGCTTCACAACTTCATCTCCTCATCACACACACTGACAGCAGGGCTCTGTGTCTGATAGACAGGGCCAAGCGAGAGGCCTAACACATTCACAGAAACACATGTACACAAACATAAATGGTACAAGAAACATCATCCATCCCTAATTCAAGAGGGAGAGCAGAAAGTAAGATGAGGGAGAGCGCAAGATAAAGTTTGACAGAAAAAAGTGATGTACGCAAGAGAGTGAGACAGACAGCAGACAGCCATTTAACTCATCAGGGAAAGAATTCCAGTTATATTTAGCTTGAAATTCAAAAGCCGGGAATTTGGGCTTAAAAGCTTGCAGACCTCCATAGAGTTTGTTGAACTCATTCTTCAAAATCTAGGATGGATTACATTAACCTTGTCAGAAATTACTTTAAATTAGGCTTCTCTCTTTATATAAGAACTCTTTGATGCTTTCCTTCAAATGCTAATAAAAGTCGACCAAAACAAACCCTGCTTTAGGATCCAGATTAAGATTTATGAACAAAGGCAGATGCTGGCGTTTGATTTACCTTTCTTTACGCTCTCCGACCCCGTGTTTTCCCAGCAGGTGGATGTTCAGGTGTTTCTTCATCACAAAGGCCCATCTACAAAAGCAAACACCGCAGAGTTACCAAAGGAGAACGACAAACGTTGATGTGCTGATTAAAAGTAGAAACAGGTGTCAATGGTTCTCAACAAGAGCACTCAGGAAAGATTATTTTCCATCCAGGTCAACGTTGTCACGTTATAACTTATAACAGGAGTGATTCCCATAATGTTCATACATCTGCATAACATAAAACCCTTGATTTATTACCGTTTTTGCGGATGGAAAACCTGTGTAACTTGCAGCTTTCAGGACATTTTAACTGCTGCTATGATGTTTCTACACCTTGATTAAGTCCACTTGTGGTAAATTAAATTATTTAGACTAGATTTCGAGAGGCACAGAACTGTCTGTAGAAGGCCTATATTCATATCAGAGCAAACACCAAGTTGGGAGGTCAAAGTGAATGCCTGCAGAGATCAGGGACAGGACTGTTGCACAACGCAGATCTGAAAGGACAGCTACATTTAAAAATCTATTTATTTACGTTATTTTATTTTTGCAGTACATGGTGTTCCCAAGATCTCAGTGGCCTTGTTAATTCCTAAATGGAAGAAAGTCGACACAGGATTTCCACCGGAGTACCCAGAGAAAACCCACACATGCACGGAGAGAACATGCTGAAGGGCCCAGAGTGGGGCCAATGAAGGTAGAGGCAGGTGATAGATGCCACACACCTAAATTTTGTTGTAACAGTCAGGGGATTTGAACCAGTAACCTTCCAATCACAGGCTTGTCTTCTCCAACCTCTGCACCACTATTCCACCTAAATATTTTTGTAAATATGAAAAAATATATATATATTTTTATAAAATATTGTGTGCAGCACAGTGGTGCAGTTGGTAGAGATGCCGCCTCTCAGCGAGCAGGTCAACTCAGTTCAAATCCTGGCCGGGGGCCTTTCTAGGTGGAGTTTGCCTGTTCTCTCTGTGCATGCGTTGGTTTTCTCTCCGGGTACTCCAGTTTCCTCCAACAGATCAAAAACATGCATGTTAGGCTTATTGGTAACTCAAAATTGTCTCTAGGTGTGAGTGAGACAGTGAATGGATGTTTATCTCATTTGTCTCTATGTGTCCCTGTGATGGACTGGAGACCTGTCCAGGGTGTCCCCTGCCTCTCGCAAAGTGACTGCTGGATATGGACACCAGTGACCCCCGAGACCCGAAAAGGAAAAAGCAGGTAAAAGATAATGGATGGATGGATAAAACATTGTTTTCACGTTTTCAATATGTAGTATGAAGAGTATATTATTAAAATAATAAGTTAAACAAACGTAGTGTCGATCTGCAACTTAAACTTGCAAAAAGTAGGTGTGACTACTTTCTGCTGTCATAGCTACTTAAATTTAACACGTCACCTGACAGAGTAGCAGAAATGACCCTGATTTGGATAAAACTTTATAAGAAAACACAAGTTTGTTTCCTTTAATGTCACTTTTACATTTAAACATCAGAGCAAGTGACCCACATGTTGAGTCACACCAACATGTCCACATGTGCAAGGATTTAACTGCACATGTATCTACAGTGCTCAAACACCAGGGCACCGTTGCTCGACAGTGACCACAACATCCTGACGTCGTCGAGGGCCCTGAGTTTAACGTGTCTCTAAAACAGCTTATGAAAACATAATGAACGGATGACAGGACTAACTACTCTGACATCCAAGCGGCTTCACCAGCTCTCTCATCCCCTGGCCTTTTCATTTAGCACCCATCACTTCCCATTATTGTGCAACGGAGAGACAATGACCACATCTGAAAGCCAAGGATGGAGCAACATGAAAGCGGGCGAGGGATTTGAACCAACAGGCATGCGGTTGGCACTGTTGCTGCACAAACTCAGACCCTGCCCTGTGCTGCCCCTCCCTGTTCTTCTTCTCTGGATGTTTTTAAGTTTCATCCTTTTTCCAAGTCAACAGTTATTCTATTTTCTCTTCGGCGAGCCCATGCGAGTCTGTTTGAAGCCTTCATTTTCACTCAGCAGTCTGTGTTTTGTGGAGCAAAAGAATAATTATTGCACCATTTATGTTGCCTCCCTTTACACCAACACTCCTTTTGACGTTTGAACACACACATAAACACACACACACACACACACACACACACATGAGCGACAGTGTCCTCCATCTCATTATGGCCCCAGAGTTGTGTCCGTCATCGAGGCCCCTGAGGCCAACTCTAACTAACACCATCACGCAAATATTCAAACATGTTCCACTGTTTTGCCTCATTATCATCACTCCAGATTTTCTCAATCCTCTCTAACTCAATCCATCCACCCGTCCAGAATGTTGCCTCGGAGTTAAACTGCGAGCAAGCGTGCGATTAAATCTCTCTCATTCCAGTCAGGGAGACAAGCACGATCAAAATGCTGAGCTTCTTTGGCCTACTAAAAGCGCCTTTGACTAACATCTATAAATAAACAAACAGCATAATTAAGATGTTTCTGAGAGGGTGTGTGTGTGTGTGTGTGGGGGGGGGGGGTCATAAAGGAATTAATCAATACATTTGAGAAAAAAGCGCAGCCTTGAAACACTTCACGCAAGCTTGTTTAAGTCGTCGTGTTTAGACGTGAAGAAAAGAAGAGCTTGCAAACATTTCTGTTAATTATGTATTACAGCTGTCCTTCATAAACCTAATTACAGAGTGCTGAAAGGCAACCGGGGCAATTTGCATATGCGCATGAAAGACAAGACATATGCAAAATATGATTTTAATTAGCATTCTTTGATAGCAAGGGGTACAAATCAAACTGGCATGTTGTGAGATTCTCATCTCACCCTTTTTACTGGATTATTCTCAGAGTGGCACCAGTGCAATATGGGTAATGCCCTGTGGAGGCACCTGGCACAGGCTGCATATACACACACACAAACAGGAATGAGTTTTATTATTCACAGACATGCACAATAATACCATGCACAACCCTAAATAACCGTGCATAAACGGGAAAAATAAAAACCTCCTTTGCACGTAAAGGCTGATAACACGTTGACAATTAGTCCGTCACTATGTGATTATCAAATACACTCAAGGCAGCATACACAAATACTGATAGAAATGCAGACAAATGAGTATATTTCCTCACAAAAAGACACCCGCAAGTACCTGTTCTCTCGTGCAAACACACACACACAGCGCAAGATCCCATATCTAAATGTTAAGGGGCCAAATCCATTTGTTTAAGGCAGTGTGTAATCAGCCCCCTGCCCACGGTGTGTGTGCATCCTCTGCCATCCAGGTCAAGGCCTCAGCTTGTCGTCCTGCTGCCTTGGGCTGCATCATCAGCCCAAACCATCAGCCTTGATGGTTATTGTAACAAAGGGATACTTTAACATGCCATTCATCCATATCAATTCTCTTCCCCCTCATGAATTGAACTAATAAGGCTGTGCCTCTGCCCTCCAGGGATGCTCATAATATCTACTGCAGAAAAAAAAAGAAGAAGAAGAAAAAAAAAAGGACAGAGAATCTGGTGTTTCACGTTCGACTTTCCCCTCAGACTAATCGGCGCGCCACAGCTCGTTAGGTCCGTGACGTGCCGGAGCTTTACCGATAAGCAGGGGAGACACGGCTCAATTACTCACAGTTACAATCTTTCTCTTTCTCCCCTCCTGTCGCCTGATGATGAAGAGATAACATGTCAATATTCCATACAAACAACTTCATTTGCCTAATGGTGTTCCTGGATAGGCCCGTCTACAGGCCCAAAAGGGATGGAACATCTAAGAAAAGGCCTCGAGCAAGAGTTAGCTTAGCCTAACCGTAACACCCCTCCTACATAACGCACGCCTACTGTCATCAGCTGTGCAGAGGGCGGGTCGAAGGTACCTCGTCATCCTGTTTAGAGTTACTTTCAGCTCGTTTTTCAAGTTTGCATTATGGCTGTAAGTTTTTTACCTAACTCACAAAGTCCTCGTGTGAGCCAGTTAGCATCGAACAAAAGAATGACCAGGCCAGGAAACTTTCATCAGCACACCTTGTATACTATTTGAGCTGGATTTGCGACCTCGACCTTGGAGTTGAGGGATGAAAAGTCGAGTCATTCTGTCTAGTGACGCTGCATATTTGTATGAAGTTTTGTTAAATTATTTTGAGCGGATCAGAAGTTATAAGCAGGACAAGAGAACATTTACGGACAGAGATTACCCCATAATACGTGTCTTTTGACAGGCGTTTAAAAAAATAGCCAGCATGTGGATGGTTGTTGCAGCGTTTTAGCGTGACCTTCAGATGAGTATTAACTATACAGTGTTCTCCCTGTTACATGTTATATAGTATAAGTTTGTGAACCAGTGTAAACAAAATAACCAGTTCTTTTAACACAAAAAATGATGGGTATGCACCTACTTAACTCAACAAAAGCTGGATACTGACAGTGTCTTGCAGTGACCAGTAAAGATGAAAAACCCTTCATTAAGAATTTTTGTTGAGTTAAAACCTGTGCAAGCCAAAGAAAACCTGCACACAAGGAAAATTAAATGGATTTACTTAAATCAAAATTATGTGCTCAAAACATTTTTATGGGCGGAAACAATTAGACAAAAAGCAAGTAGACAGAGGTTATGCACATCTCCCCCACCCCCATACAAGCCAATAGACTGACATTTTCTAACAAATTAGAAAAACAACAAATATATATATAGGATGAAAAGTCAAACAAACGTGCTTTGTTTTGTGCCTGAAGTTGCTGAAAAGTCATTACAGGAGAGCCACGAGATGCAGGAAGCGGTCAACCTCCGCCAGCCTTCAGAAGCCGTCTTGCTGAGGAGGAGCAGGTCGTTGGGGGAGAATGAAAGGGGAGGTGGGTACGAGCTCTCAAGTTATGGGACGCTCTCTTCGGATGAGTGCACACATGCAGACACTGCCTCCGCAGTGGTCCGCCAGGCCCCAAAGAAATGAGCGCCCGCGGGCTCATCTAGCCTCATGTGCTAGTCCTAATGACGGCCCCCACCTGCTGCTTTAATGTCACAGCTGGATCGTCCTCCATCCTTCAC